GTTTCGTGATTTCTGGGTGGTTGTTGGGTCTTACGAAGAAGAATGATGGAGAAGGATGCCATGGTTGTCGTGTCGCGATGGTGTTGGACGAAGATTCACGGTGCTGACTGTTGGAACAACCAGTATCGTGTAGCGGAAAGGGTTTTAAAGAGCGTGTATCGGTCAAAAACCAAGAAAGGAGGGGTGAATTGGTTCTTTTAAAAATTGTGATTTTCTTTTAGGACTTTTATCAAACACTTTGTAAATTAAAAGTGCAGAGATAGAGAAAATCACACGAAATGTTTTATCCTGATTCGAATCAAAAAGATTCTACGTCCAGTCGTTAATCACTATAAACAGTGATTAACCTTTTTCACTAAAATATAGTTTTACAAATTACAATAAGATAAACAAATATTAAAGAACAGAAAACACCTTCCTTCGACAAACAAACGGAAGAACTTCAGCTCAATTAACTTGAAGAGAACTGCTTCGACCTTATACACACTAAGCGCAAGCTTCTCTTTTTCACAAAACTTGATTTGAGCACACTAACACTTGAGAACTTCCGCAAACTTTTTCTGTATTCTCAAATAACTTAGTTTAAACCTATAAGAGGTTTAGTAAAATGTATATATACCCCAGGGGTTAGAAACTGAAAAGGCAACTCCCAACTGTCAGTGATAATCGATTATATCAAGTGATAATCGATTATTTGTGTCCGTTATGGGGTTTTCAAAAGGTGATAATTGATTATCTTGAGGAATAATCGATTATTTGCGCAACTTGGACAATATTGAATCAGACAAAGATAATCAATTATTTTGAGCAATAATCGATTATTTACAAGAGCAATTATTTTCTAAACAGGCTCGTGATAATTGATTATTACACCAAATAATCGATTATCTGCGCAAAGACTCTCTAAACAGGAAAACTTCAAAGTGTTCTTACATCGTCAAAGTTATTCCTATACAATTTCTTCTACAAAATGCTTTGAATGTAAATACAACAAGAGTCTTCAATTCTTCATCTTGTAACATCATCAAAACTTTAATAGCTTCAAGATACCAATGCTCCCCATTGGTAACACTGACGGTGGTGGTGGAAAGGGAGAGGATGCGTGAAGAAGCTTCGTGATTTGGGTCTGGGTGTTGTGCGTTTTTTGGGTTTGATTATTTGTGGGTTTCTGGTGATCTCTGCGACAGTTGGTTGTGGTGTGGCGGCAAGGGTGACGCAATTTGCTCCATCGTGCAAGTTTTCAGTGTGGTGGTTGCTATGGTTGATGGTGATGCTTAGGCTAGGTGGAGTATGGTTGAAGGTCGTGGTGTGGTGGTTTCTACGACGGCTAGCAGTGACCATGAGGGTGGCGACATAAGGAAGGAGAAAGGTTTCTTTTTGGAGAATATGATACTGACGTAACAACAGTTGTAGCAATGGTGATGAGTTGACATGTTCTGAATTTAATACACAATGACATGTCATCTAAAAAAATTACATCTCAACATCTGTTAGCATTGTCTGTCAACACTTAACGAAAATGACTTAATTATTACGATTTTACAAAATTTAAAACCAAATTGAGACGGTTTTCAACAACGACTCACTTGATATTTCATCCGAAGGTTTAAAGCAAATTTTTTTCAACTTATAAAACTGTCTATGACTATCAATTATAGATAATTATAAATTAAATATTGTTAAAAATACCAATTGCACATACAGAAAGACTACTTAAAAATATTTCTAATCCCATACGTAATTTTTCCTATACCCTTTTACTCATAAAAGTACGAAGTTTAGAAAGAAAAAAAAACATTGTATTAATATGCTGGTGGAAGTGCTTATTAAACAATTTTTTCCTCTTTCTATCTCAATTTAATACATTCTCACAAACTATTTTTTTTTTCATCACAAATTTTATTTTATATGAAATATTTTTCTTTGTATACTTTTTACTGGCGAAGTAGATTTTTATTTTTGAGAAGGAGACTTGCTTCCTCTGCAAAACTGGAAGGTTATATGGATGCAATCACACTTATAAAAGTAAGTTGAAATTCATTTCATTCACTCGGTTCATTAATAGAAAAAAGTTTTAAATTAGGCTGTAGTTGATAAGACTAAATTAATAAAAACACTAAATTTTAATACTTGGATGCAATATGAAAAAGAAAATTACAATTATGACAATATAGTTTGAGTTTTTCCAAAATTAGAAGTTTCTACAGGTAGAAAACGAGGATTGGGAAGAGAAGAAGAAAGAAGGGTCATTGAGGAGGAATGGAATGCGAAGGGAAATTCAGAGAGAAATTGGTGAAGGTGGTGGGAGTGGGAAAACTCTGCTATCTTTTGAAAGCGAAAATCGGAGAGGGTTCATACTCCTTAGTGTGGAGAGCGGAGCAGAGACAAACCGGCGATGACGTGGCGGTGAAGCAGGTCTTCCTCTCCAAACTCAACCCTCGCCTCAAGGCTTGTTTGGATTGCGAGATCAACTTCTTGTCCTCTGTTAACCACCCCAATATTATTCGTCTTCTTCACTTCTTCCAGGTTCTATTTTCTTTCCCGTTTTCGTTGCTCTGGTGGTTTCCCCCCCTTTTATTTAGTAACCCTTTTTTGTTAATTTTGTTTTTGAAACCGAATAAGTTGAAAAGATTATGACTTTATTTGTTGGGAGGGTTGACGTTGGTTGAAGCTTGTTTTTTTCTGGTGGTCAGGATGATGGATGTCTGTACCTTGTCCTTGAGTTTTGTGCTGGAGGCAACCTAGCTTCTTATATTCGAAGCCATGGAAGAGTTCAACAACAAACTGCTAGAAAATTCATGCACCAGCTTGGTAACTTTTATTTGCATTTTTGGTTTGTTGTAATACTGCCTTTGATGGCACTATAACATGAACTGAAGTTTGATGCAGGCTCTGGTCTCCTAGTATTGCACTCTCACGGCATCATTCACAGAGACTTGAAACCGGAGGTAGGAATGTGATGTTTGTTTTCCGGACATAGAATTGGGTTCTGTACATTTTCAAAAATGGAAAAGAGCTTCAGTAGTTTTTGTTACTAATTTTGTTCAAAATGCTTCAAAGTGGAATTTATGTGTAGACGATTGTTTCAGATTAATTAATTTCATCTATGGGTAAATATAAATATACAGAGTGCAATCAGTTATTGTCGAATTTTTCACTGGAATAAATGAATATGAGGGCACTACAGTTAAGTTAAATATTTTGATCACGTTCTTTTGCTTAGTTTTGAATTTGTAAGTTTACAACATTAACTACCAGTTTTGAATTTGGAACTTTTACTTTTGAGCAGGCCTTTTAATTTTGTTATTCTGCTAGTAGCAACTATTCAAACTTAGAAGCGGTTCAGAATTTAAGACTACTTGCCTCTTAAATAATTGAAAAATGTTAAACTAGGAATATGCTTTTGTGAAACAACTTATAGACAATTTGAAGTAAAATTAGTTGTGTTTTGTTAATTACCACTTACTCTTCAAACCATACTGTTTCTCATTCCAAGTTTGGTTGATTGTGACGCATTTGTACAGAATTTCATACAAGAGCTTTTTTCTAAATAACTCTGATGTAAATACCCTACATTAAACTGATGACAAAACTTGAAATGATTTCAGGCAAGTCTGTTAAGGGCCAAAATTCTGGAAAAACTATAAAAAGAGGAAATTACAGACCTTTTCTCATAATGGCTTGTTCTAGTTGCATGGAAAATGATTCTCTTATTGATAATCAATCTTTAGTGACTATCATTTTGAGATCAGTAGCAAATTTTGTTTGCTTTGGTGCTATTGTTAAACCAGAACATTTTGCTATCAAGCCATGAGGGTGATGCAAAGCTAAAGATAGCCGATTTTGGTCTCTCAAGGTACTTTGTTGGTTTAGGGGAATGAATAGGGACAGGAAAAAAATTTATTCATTTTGTTTTCCATATATTATTCTCACCAAATTGACAGCATTTTCATAAAATGTGGAGGACTGTGCGCCCAGGTGAATATGCGGAGACAGTTTGTGGTTCTCCGTTGTACATGGCTCCAGAAGTTCTTCAGTTCCAGAGATATGATGACAAGGTATAAACTGTTCTTTCTTTCAACATTAGCTATGTTTGTTTACTGAAATATACTTAATTAATATAGGCAGACATGTGGAGTGTTGGAGCTATTTTTTTTGAGCTTCTAAATGGATACCCACCTTTTAATGGCAAAAATAGTGTTCAGGTAGCACCATAAATTTGAACTACTAATATTAAAATATATCTGTCCGTGACCACTGCTAATGCAAAATGCTGATTTCAGGTGCTGAAAAACATCAGATCCTGCAACTGTCTTCCATTTTCTCAACTTATTCTTTCAGGATTGGATCCGGACTGTCTTGATATTTGTTCAAAGCTACTACACTTAAATCCAGGTTGTGCACTTTTTTTTTATTTAACATGTTTTCTTATTCTTTCAATTTCCAGTGCTCATCAGTTTATTTGTGAACCATTCTCACTATGTTGCAGTGGAACGCCTATCTGTTGATGAATTTTATTGGCATAGTTTTCTTCAAAGAAAAGTGAGGAGAACATGACAGCAATACCACCATAGTTTTCACTATCTTTCTATAGCCGCTGTCTTCAAAGCTACCAAAATCATCAATAGAAGTTAATGTCATTGCCGTTTCATTCCCAACTTTGTTTCCCCTCTCTGGACATTGGATAAGTGTATATATATATATATGTATAAACTTGTACTGTTTTCTTTATTGCTTGCAACTTGTGAGCTTAGAAAAATTATTTTTTAGTTTCAATTCAATGCGCCTAGAGTTGTGGGCCTATGTAACGCTTTTTATTGTGATATTTAATCCTTTGATGTTGTAGTCCTGGTGTGTGTGTGTGTATATATATATATATACTTTTATAACCCAAACAGCAGCCATCTCCAGCTACTATCTAATGGGTACACGATGAGATTTCGTTCACTTAAATGGGCAAACCATCGATATGAAACGTCAAAGGAAAATTCCAAACAATGTAGCAATATCAAACTTATTAATACACAACTTTTACAGAAGTTTGGCGTGATGAATTTTTTACTGAAAGGTAAAATAAAGTCTAAACGAAAGGCTAATATGTTGCTGAATACCAATGATAGTGCAGTATGCCTAAAATTTCCACTTATCAATATACACTGGACAAAGCTACAATCTCGTTCGACGATTTCTGCAATCTGGGTGTCACACTATCAGCCATGTTTCTCGTTTGACATGTAAGCGAACATAATGGTGTGGAACGATGAAAAAGAGTGATATCTCACACTCCTAATGCGATACCTCTATCCCATTTGACTATACAGTAAACATACATAAACCCCATCTACTTTTAATATACACCTTCTCTGTGTTCTGTACAGCCACTTGAGGATCACAAGTCTGAAGAATAATTATCAGTCACAACATAAAGGATGAAATTCATTACACGCTTGTGCCTGCCAAATATTGCACTAAGCAATGCAATGCAACATTAGTGATACAACTCAGCGGTCTTCCCTTCGAACAGCATTTGGATCCGACATCATGTCCATCATCATTTTCTCAGGTGAATCCTCCCAATTTGCAAAGGTCTTCAAGTCAACCTACAAAATATAATTGACAAAAATTTTATTGCTGTTTGATTTATCAAAGTTAATATTTGTAACAACTAATCTGAGAACGAGATAAGGTAAGATACTTTTCTTCTTTGCTCGGTGAAAAGTTCTTCTCTCTTTTTGTAAGAGTTCTGCACTGCCTTCGCTTCTTTCCCTCCAAATCCCCAAACTTCAATTTCTGAAATTATACCCTCAACGGGTAGGAAACCCTGAAACATAAGCCAACAACAGCTCATACAAGGAATCGTCGAGTCAAGTTCAGTTTTTTATTGGTTAATAGCCATGATTCTTTTAACCAAAACTCTCAAATATTTCTGAATTTTCAACATCAGCGAAATATAATAGAATGCATTACCATGGTATATAATGACAGGAAAATTATAGCATGCCAGCATGGAAGAGTTCACAAGATAATTAATTGTTTTAAGATGACTTTAAAAATGTTTACATCAGAGAACATACAGAATCAGCAATTTTTTATGTATGCATTAATTGATACCGGGTTACATGTTTTATAACTGCACTGCCAGTATATCCATTTAGCAATAGAATTATACCTGATCTGGAAGGAGGGATCCACTCCGGTAAGTTTTGTCCACAGAATGATGGCGAACAGTCACTTTCGAAAAATCTTCATCTACAAATATTCTCTCATTTCCCGGAGTTCCTCCAAATGCAAGACCAACTGGCTTTGGGTGCGGTTGGTAAACTTTACCAGTAGGACGCAAGTGGCTATAAACAAAATTCTTTTCCTTACCTGTCAGTGGTAACATACGTAATTGGTTTCATTGTTTCAAAAAATTTGTTCAAGTCCCCGCCAAAAGAGAGGAAACAGGAAAAGGAACATTGTCACGCCTAATACCTACCAATAGGTGGAAACACGTGAAACACTGGACCAATAGAATATAACCATCCAGAGTTTCCATAGAATATATCTTTACTTTCAAAAGCTTGATGTGTTAGAGCACCTATAACCCATTTCCTATCAACAGAATTTCCTTCACGAGGTTCTCCTGAACTTGCAGATATCAAAATTAACAAAGGACCTTTGTAACCTTCAACATGTGACCAAAATCTGCCAAGGCCTCTTCCATGAGTGGATGACCTATAACAGAATACAGTTTGATGTCAATAGACATTTCTGTTTCCAGCAGGTAAGTCTGCCAACGAAATTACGAATGTTGGAGTGCAATCAGCAAGCCTAGGCTATATCGATAGACAAAAAAACTAGGAAAGCATCATAATAGAAACTTTTTCCCTCATTTTGACTGAAAAAGAATAAAAATAACAAGTGACCAGAACTATTAAAGCACAACAGGATTGAGGGTCAGTGATGCAAACCTATAAACAAGGTTATCACCAATTCCACTTCCATTGCTTATAAATGCGCCAGAAATTTCTTCACTTACTCTACTTTTGTTGGTGATAGAAACTGCCCAAGCCCTTCCTTGGGTCAAAAGATGATGGTGTGCAGATATTGATGAAATATCTCCAGGAGAGGAGGAATTAGAGGGTGCCAATTCAACCTGCCATTCAGCCAAAGAATAGTTGATCTTACAACATCTAGGAACCATATGCAGCATATTTTTCTCTGACATAACAAACGAGAGTGCTTTCCCAACTTGTTTCAGTTAATAATATGATAAGAAATAAAAACAGACTGGCAATGATAAAGGAATCTATATAATAATAACAATGAAAATGCGAAATAATTTGATAATTACATTGTTTTTCTCTGCACATGATAAATGAATAATATCTGTACCAATGATTACAAACCTAAGAATTTTCAGCATTCAGACAATAGAACAATGTCGTATAATTCTTTAGGACATTATACTAATAATTAATCAGATGAAAAGAGAACTGAACTTACCAAACACAAAGGAAAAATGAATTAGAAATTTACATAATTACTTCAACTGGTATGTGGAACTTTTGTCATATACCGCAGTGAAGGTATAGGAAAAATGCTTAATTTTGTTAAATTATTCAAAGGCAAGACAGCTGAGTTTCTCTTTTTCTCAAGAAGAAAACAGAATAAAAAATTACTCAATATTCCAATACATCGATAAAAGAAAGTTGAAATAGTCCCTGAAAGTAGGAAAGTGTGAAACAAGCCTCTGTTTGGTTCCAAATAACAAATTTCACCTGAGTTTTCAATTGAACTTACTTGAATTTTTGAAAAGTCCAAATACGGGCACGAAAAGGCAAAATTGAGTGTAACTTGTAGACACAGCAGAATTTTAGTATAAATTGTTAGATATTAAGATGTGTGTTTTTGTTATTTGGGCTTTAGTCCTATCTGTTTAGGGCATTGGCCCATATCTTACAATATAAATACACTACCCTATGGTTATGGCTAAACACACAAGGATATTTTCTCCCAATCTTCTCTATTTTCTCATATGGTATCTAGAGCACAGAATTAGGTTCCAGTAGTCAACTCCACGGTCTCCGCCACCTATCACTGGTCGCGGGTCGTCACCCCGCCGCACGTCCCAGCGCGCGCGCCGCCCCGCCGTCGCCGCCGGCACGCCCGCCGCGGAGTTTCCAGAAATCGGGACCGTCGGACACCAACATCGGGCATCGTCTCGGTCCTGGTCGACCACCGTCCACGACAGGATTCGCGCGATCGGACCACCCAACCGCCTCCGCCACGCGCCGCCGCAAGATTCGCACGCTGCCGCCGGACGACGTGCGGCGTCGTCGCCGGAGCTTTCCGCCGGCCGATCAGCACCGCGGTCGTGATCGGGCCTCCTCGCCCTCTTTTCCGGATCTGTGGTCGTTGCGTCAATCGGGCACTTTGAATTTTTAGGGTTTCTCCCTCTCTATGGCGTCTTCTTTTTTCCTCGTCTACAAACACCTCTGTTTGGCTGCTCATTCTTCTGATCCCTAATATATAACCATTATGTGAATGTTACACTTGTCATAGTTGACAAGTTAGGATGCAACAATTATGCAACATGGGCCGTCCGGACACCATCAAGCTTTGGTTTTTTGAAAGAAGGTCAGGGGTTACGTAGATCATCTTACTCAAAAATGTACTATGCTCCCAAGATGACCAACGTCCCGCTGGATGAAAATATTGATGCTCAGTTATTGTATTGGTTTTTTAATAAAGTCCACCATTCATCCTCACTGAAACAAATGTTTCGATCCTATGAAACATGGTTCAGAAGTATCGGCACAAGCGAAGTTTGTATTATACACCAATGACACTCAGCGTCTTTATGGTGTTTGTCAGGACCTATTAACTGTTATTAGGTCCGCGCAAAAATCCTGGTCCCCTATGGCAGATTATTTGGGTTAAAACATTCATTGGCCCTTCTTCCTGGACTTAATGATATAGTACCCTCCTGCTTCCACTCCTGCTTGGAAGAATTGGAAAACAACGGTCAAAGTTCTTCAGTTGTTGGCATATATACGGACTTTCTCTGATGATGTTTCTTCATGTCCGCTGATCAGAGTTTTGGGTTCTCCTGTCATTACCCAACTTTACTTCTACTTTTCTGCTCTTTTGCGTATATCCGAGCAAACCCCGTCACTGAGACATATGCCTCCATACTGATGATTCCTCTGTTATGGGCTGGCTACAACGTGAATGACGAAAGTTCGTCTCGCATAAGGCCAGAGTAAAGGACGTCCAAAATGTGGACCAATTGTGGGCAAGGTTAGGGCCACAAGATTGATAAAAATTGTTTAGCTCTCCAATGGACTTTCCTCTCGGATCTGTGTAGCAATGGCAAATTCTGATCCACCCCCCCGATCAACCGTCTGCAGGACCATCTACTTCATCTAATACCATAGACACACCTGCACTCTTCAACCAGAATTTCTCAGATGTTATGAGGACATCAGCACTCTGGTTCCCACTACATCTGCAATCTGTTGCCGTACAGGTACCCTTTTTGTTGGTCTACTCACTCTTCCGTCGACCTTTTGGTCCTTGACTCAAAGGCGCACTGATCACATCACACGGTAAACAAGAGGTCTTTGTTTTCTTCCTTGGGGTCCCCCAATGTTCCTGATAATTTACCCTGGTAACAATGGGTGATTGGTCTAGAAAGTTCAATCTCATAGGTATTGGTACTGTTAATATTTTTCCATCCATAATCCATTGATCATGTACTTTTATTTCCCTGGGTCTTCCCCTTCATCAACTACTGCCATTAGCGTTTAAAATTACTCGCACTCTTAATTGTGTTTATTCAATTTACTAAAGATTCTCTGTTTGGTGCAGGACCCTGGAGTTCGAAACCACAATATTGGGCACAGGATGTGAGTCCTCATGGGCCTTTTATCATCTTCGTCCTTCTCCACATGTTGCGTGTCATGGAGTCACACCATCCCTTCTTTCTGCTCAGTTCGGTCATCCTAGTCTTGGCCAACTACACAACTTGTGTTTATTTAAAACAGTCTCCTCGGGCCTGGTTTTGTAAATCAGTTGGTTTGTTCAACAATTTGGTTATGTCTGGCAGTGAAGCGGGATCAATTCAGTGTTCTTATCGTCCACTCGATTGCTGGATGTATCTACTTATCTAGTGTATTGTCGATTGAATTTTTTCTCACAGGAAAGGAACGCACTTCTTGGCATCTCTCGATTGAAACCACACCTTTTTGTCATCATTTTCAAACAAAGATCTTGGCAAACTTCGGGGTAATTTTTTGGGTATTGAAGGTTAGCAACAATCCCAGTGATGGTATTTCATACTCAGAGGAAGTATGCAGTTATTTAGGACTTCTCTTGGAGGGAAGAACAGTGTTAATGAACTTGTAACTCGTATTGTGAGACACCTAATGGACCCTAACTCAAACTCCTACCCAAAAATCAGAGGGGAGCCTTTCTCAAAGATCCTGACGGTACAGAAGAACTAGTTGTGTATCCTTAAACTATCTACTGTTACGCGTCCTGACTGACTTTTCCTTCCCGCAGGGTTGTGTGGTGAGTCAATTTTCTAACTCACCATGTTGAGGACCATGGGAGTGTGCAGTTGTTTCGGCAGTCTGAGTATATTAAAAAAAAGATCACCTGGGAAAAAAGGTTTGCTAATGACCCCAAACAACGATACAAAAAAAACTACGTTTGTTATTCAGATGCTGATTGGGCTGGTTCCCCTTCTGAGAGGAGGTCTACTTCTGTATTGTTGTCTCTATTGGTGGCAACCTGATTTTTATCTTGGAAAAAGTAAAAAAACAAAGTTAGTTGTGGCAAGGTCCAGTGCAGAAGAAAGAAAACGAGAATATAGAGCTATGGCATCAGCTACTTGCGAGCTTGTGTGCTTAAAAAACAATTGTGAGTGATTGAAATTTGGAGCTATTGTCACTTCACATGATACTTATATGTGGATAATCAAGCTGCTCTCCAATTAATTAGGCTCTAACCTTCTTCCATGAGGAGAACCAAAACCCATTGAAGTGATTGCCATTTCATTCGAGAAAAGTCTTTGAGAGAAAATAATCCGGAGGAATATCAAGACTTGAGTTTGCTTAATTCAACAAACCAGGTTGGCAGACATATTTCACTAAGTCCTTACGGGACACTAGAATTGATTGATTCTTTTAACCAAGCTTGGACATATTGTTTATATGCTCCAGCTTGGAGGGGGGAGTTGTTAATATTAAGAGGTTGTGTTTTTGTTTTTGGGCTTAGTCATTCTGTATTAGGGCATGGCCCATATCTTACAATATAAATAAACTACCCTATGTGTATGCTAAACACACAAGGGATATTTTCTCCCAATCTTCTCTCATTTCTCCATAAATAAATTAAAACGAGGAAGACCAAATGTAATCATGGGTCTCCCATTGGAAAGAAAGAAATTCAACAAAACTTAACCCAAGTTAAGTAGTATAAGGGGCAAAAAAAAAAAAAATACAATTGATCCACTGAAGCCATCGAACAAACACAAAAAACTTAACCCCATTCATTTGCTGCTATTTGTAGTCTAGCATTAAAAATACAAAGTCTCAAGGCAATCAAGGGAGGCAGGGCCACGGTACTCATAAACCCACGTTACCGAACTTCCCTGCCAGGAAGCTGAACCTCCAAGCTCGAGATATCACATCCCACAACAGTCGAAAAGCAACCCTCAACTTGGGCCAACATTTGATCACCGACCAACACCAATGATTTCAGGATCCGGTAGGCTTAGGATTCCCTCCCCCTTTCAATTTTCCTGGAAACCCCACGACAGAGCCAACACAGGTGCAAAAGCAAAAACACGTCCCCTAGGAAAAAGGTGGCCGTTAATCTTACAATCAGTATCCCCTGATTCAAACTCCAAATGAATAGGTACATTCGCACTTTCTGAGATAACCACGAATACTCTCAAGAGCATGTTTAGCGAAACCGACGAGGACACCCTCGAACAGCACTTGTTGTAACTCTTAACAAATGCAACCCAGTCTATTCCCCCTTTATCGGGCACGAAAAATTGATCCACTAGGGTTGAGCCTAGGTGATCCAACATCACCGTTAACGAATCTGGCACGTTGCTTCCGGAACAACTTCGATCTTCTCCAGCCAAATTAAAGCGTTGCTGAACACAACGAGCTTGCACGTCATCAATTAGAAAGGAACAAAAAAAATGATCGAGAACGAGAAGGTTCTTATGCATTTTGAATTGTACCTGTAGATTTTCCAAAGAAACGGCGTTTGTTTGGGGATTGGCGAGCTTGGAGAAAGCTTTCTCAAGCATTGGAAGAGCTCCAGTAGAGGCTGCCACGGATTCCGCCTCGCTCTGCTCCTCCGAAACCCTCGGCTCCGATGAAGTGGACGCTCCCATCGCTGGCGTCGCGTCGCGTCGCAAAGATCGGATTGAGTTTGTATAATGTTCTGGTAGTTTCTCGTCAGAATAATTGGAAAGATTAATCTCTAGATTTAAATAGCATAGGGTCACTATTAGTGTTAATAATTTTAAATTAGTTCAATTATTAATTTAATCCTTACACCTGTCTTTTACTCTTCAGTTTTCAGTTTTGACTTAAATTTTATATAGATTTCCCTCTCCCTGTGTTGTTCTTGTTAAGAACTCGTGGATTTGTATGACTTTGTTTGCCGTATGTCTTTTTAAGTCATGTGTCCCAAACCGAATAACATAACACGTAAAGTTATATGGTTTATAATATAGTATTTTATTACATGATATTAAGTAGAAGGAAATCAGTAGTTTTCCAACTAATGTTTTTATTATTTTATATATATATTTATCTGTTTCTTTTTTTAAGGCATAAAATGTTTCTTTTCTGTCACGGGCTTTCTTAAGTTCATTGCATCAGAGACTACATGTTACATACAATTTAATTAAAATCTTATTAACAATTCTGTTAGTCCTCTTAAAAAATATATTTGATGAATCTAGATCAAGCAATGGTAATTATATAATTATCAGTGATGAAAAATATATAACGGCAATCGAGAATGTAATAATATCATGACTCTTTTTTTTTCTGTTGTAAAAGAAACTTCCATAAATTTAATAATCCATTTGAAAAAAAGGTTCGATAATATTATCAAAAAAGTCCAATACTTTTTATGTATAATATTAAAAGAATAAATTTATATATAATATTAAAACGATAAAGTGCGTGGAAGTGGAGTAAATTAATAATAATAACTTTTTAATCCCATGCAGCAAACTGCATCTTATAATCGGTACTCTCACGCATCATAAAATTAAGAAGAGAAGGACGGCGTTCCTTGTACGCAACGGAAAGGCGTCGTTTTAAATTATGCCGCCGGCGAAGAAGGGAAAAGCAAAGGCCGAGCCTAGGGTAACGCCGCCGTCGGAGAAACCTAACGATTTTCCGTCTTGTATTCGCTGCGTGCCTCCTTCCTCCGTCGCCGTAACCATCCACGCCAAACCTGGTTCCAAATCTGCATCCGTAACCGGTCTTTTTCAATCTCAATCTATCTAGCGTTTCTACGATTTTAGTTGATAAATGCGATTTTAATTTTTTTTCAATAATTAGATATTAGCGATGAAGCGGTGGGAGTTCAAATCGACGCACCTGCCAGGGATGGCGAAGCAAATGCAGCTCTTCTCGATTTCTTCAGCTCTGTAAGTTCCGATTTCTGATTGTGACATTTTCATTTGTATGGTATTATTCTATCCATGCGGTGGGCGATCAAAAGGTGTAATTGCATATATTTGGTGTCTATAGTTCCAAACAAAATTTAGTCTACATTTGAAACATTTTCTACTAATTTTTATGTATATTATTATTTTTAATTTTTTTAATCTCTTCATATGCCATTTTAATTCTTTATTAAAATGAAAAAAAAAACATATTTTAAAGTTTTAAGAGTAAAATATTAATTTACAGGTTTTAGGTGTGAAACGAAGACAAGTCTCTATAGGCACAGGTTCTAAGTCGAGAGATAAAACGGTGATCGTGGAAGATGTGACTCAGCAATATGTTTTTGATGCTTTGGATAAAGTCTCGAAGCAGTAGTGATGTTTTATTGATGAGGAGGCATCTTGCTGTTATTATTATTATAATTAATATCTGTTAGAAGAGTAATATAGTGGTAGTGTTGCAGTGAAGAGCCTTGTATTTGTTTTATTTTGGTTTTTTCCTTCATAGTGTATACTTTGACAACTTGATGGAGTGCATGTTTGGATTCAATTCAATTCTTCTATTCATTCCAATTCCATAAATGTCTGTTAGCTTCATATGTGTTTGAGTATCAGAAATGGTTTTGTTTGTGGGAAGGCTCAAGAGTTTCATTGTTTCAGAGGAAATAGAAGGGAAGGGATTAAATGACTTTTTTATGACTTTTATATTTCATTTCAAATTCAATAACTTTATTGATTTTTTAAATGCTATACATTATTAATTTATCTCTTACTATTCATTTCGGGCACCAATGTTTCTTAAACTTAACTCATAAAAACTGTTCTAAAGAGGATGGAAGTAACATGGAACGAATTAACTTCCATTTTTTTTGCACTGTAAATAATTTTATCCTTTCCAAGTAAGATATTGATTTCATTGCTAGACATGAAGTCACTTTTTAAAACTTAATTAATTTTTAATAACATTTTAATAAATAACAATTTTAAATCTTATTAACAGTATAAACGATTTTTAGTTCATGTTAAAATGTCTTCATATAATTCATTTATTATCTATTACCTTATTTTTCATTAATTTGAAACAATTGTATAGAAAACTGTTTACTCTTTTTTTTTTCTATTCTTTTATTATATATATTCCTCCTATTTCTATCATTTCTTTTTTTTTTGGTTTTTCCTCTCTATACCACTTACCAATCTAAAGAAGGGACAAATGTAATTAAGTCTAGAAATACCTATGCTAAAGCACAACCAAATTCTTTCCTATTTATTCTATTCTTATTTTTTTCCCTTGCTATTCATTTCATTTCAATCCCATCTGACTTGTTTTTATTTTTTATAAGAATTAGTTAATGAGTGATACTTTTCGCTTGGTTTATTATAATGAATTTTAATGAAATCAATTTTGAAAGTTTATATTTTCATAAAAAATAAGAAAAATAATTTTCAACGATAAAATAAAGAAGACTATTTTCTAAAAAACTAAAATTCGTTGCGAAGCGTTGATGTCTTCTCGAATTGCCCATGTAGCGATGACATGTTTGACTGAAAACGTATAGAAAGCGACTATAGATGGGGAATTTATATACAGTCTGAAAAAAAAAAAGGAAGAAATATTTGTGGAGAAATAATTAGTATTACTATATGTGAATAACAATAGGAGAAGAGAATGATGATGGAGAAGAGCAGAGGAGTATTTGTTGGTGGGAGAAGGATAAAGCACAAATAGGGGTTGTATTTGAAACTAGTGTCTTGCAAATTAATTTTGGCTGTTTTTAGTTAGAGAGAGAAAGGGAAGAGATAGGTGTTTGTGTTGGAAGACAAAGTTGTGGCATGCGATTTATTGACACAATTTCATCCTATATGCATTTGGGTTTCATTCTCGTTTCCCCCTCTATTTCTTTGCATTTGGGTTTCATTCTCTCTCTGATGTCCTTTTCTCTCTCTAAATTCTATGGAATTCCTCCGGAGAGGCTAAGCTTAGATGATCCTGTTCTAAGGTACATTTTATTAATTCCTTTATTCACCAAAAAACATATGCATTCATTTCTTTATCTGATTGCCTTCAACTAACTTATATCTATAATATTTGGGTTTTTCAACTTTTTACCAAAAAACTTGTCATTAATTATTTTGATTCCAACTATTTGAAGCAGTATAGATGAGTTTGGCAGGCACAGAAAGCTCAGAGGAGGGGGCAGGCCTTCTAGAGCCTCCTGATCCCAATATTGTTGAAATCGATCCTACTAATCGCTACACTAGGGTATGAAATGGAATTATGTGATTTTTTTCTTACTTCCTCCCAAGAAAAAATTAGCAATGGATTAATTTCAATTTAGCAATTGTTTTTTCTGTATTCATAACAGTATAAAGAGGTTATCGGCCAAGGAGCTTTCAAGACTGTGTATCCTTTATTTTAAGATCTTATCAATGTGTCTTTTTTATTATAGTTCGGTTCTTATAGTAGCACTTCACTAGTAATCTAATTCCTTCGCTTTAAGGCTTAATGTTTTTTGTCTGTAAAATTGAAAGACATATTGAATGCCCTGCTCAATCTAGAACATAATGCATGAAATTTTCCATTAGGATCGGTCTAATGGGGCATGATTGGGTAGTTCACATAAGGTTCTAAATTCAAACCTTAGCACCATTGTACACACATAAATAGTGCATGACATTCTTTGGGTCTAATTTTTATGTTAAGAATTTTATTTTTTTAGTGAAATTTATGTCGATATGCAAACTTTTCCTTTATTTATGATTAATTAGTTACAAGGCATTTGATGAAATTAATGGACTTGAAGTTGCATGGAGCCAAATTCATATTGATGAGGTATTACAGTCACCTGGTGGCCCAGATAGGCTGTACTCAGAAGTGCATCTCTTGAAGTCAGTTAAGCACGATAACATCTTGACTTTCCATAATTCTTGGATTGATGATAAGCACAGGACTATGAACTTGATTACTGAGTTATTCACCTCAGGGAACCTCAGACAGTGTGTTCACTACCCTTTATAAATGCTTTTCATTTGATTCTTTTCCTTTTTGAATGACATCAACCTTTTGGTTAGTGGATTTGATGTATGATTTAGGTACAGCAAGAAACACAGGAGGGTTGACATGAAGGCTGTTAAAGGATGGGCAAGGCAAATTTTAAATGGTTTAAATTATCTTCACAGTCACAACCCACCTATTATGCATAGGGACCTGAAGTGTGATAATATATTCATCAATGGTCACCGAGGAGAAGTTAAGATTGGAGATCTAGGGTTGGCAACTCTAATCAAACAAACCAATGCCAGGAGTGTAATTGGTATGCTCTTCTGTTTTGTTGCATTTTCTTTTTTTGTAAATTTTCCATCCTTTCTATGATTATAAATAATCAATAATTTATTTGATTTCTACTCCAATTATATTTACAAATATGTAATCCTAGTAGGAACCCCGGAGTTCATGGCACCTGAACTGTATGATGAACATTATAATGAATTAGTGGACATATATTCTTTTGGGATGTGCATGCTTGAGTTGGTTACGTCTGAATATCCTTACAGTGAATGTAGAAACTCAGCTCAGATATACAAGAAAGTTTCATCTGTGCGTATTCTTATTGACAATGTACTTTTTCTTTAAGCAATTACTGGGATCCATGGTCATATATTATTTGATATTGCAGGGCATTAAGCCTGTTGCTCTTTCCAAACTCAAAAATCAAGAAGTAAAATCATTTATTGAGAAATGTCTTGTCCCAGCGTCTCAAAGACTGACAGCAAAGGAGCTTTTGATGGACAATTTTC